TGATGGTCGTTCTAAACGACAAATCTGTGAGTAGAACCATTATTTACAAAAAGTTCAGCCAATATGTGTTTGAAGTAGCCAAAAACAGCTGCATACAATCTTGACACCCAAACCCTCATATCAGAAACCTTTTATCCGGCATAGTTCCAAACCCTTCCCGACGATGCTTAACTTTTTCCATTCATATTGTGCATATTAGCTGTTTACGAATTATGACCGAGTATAAAATATTTCAACACACTTTATTTTTCTCAAATAAAATAATTATTTTCCGCAAAATTTTTTCAAACTCGCTGTTTAGTTTAGTTTGTTTTGCTTGTTTCACATCTACTTTTCGAACAAGATTGAAAAGAGATAGGGGTTACAAAATACTAAATGTGATCAAATGTACATTCAATCATCAATTCTATTGAGGGAAATATATTTGCCCAAATGGTTTGCTTACTTTTCCAACAAGCCAATAGAGAAATGCCCGTACGCTGAGTAAACTCGATGAAATATCTCTAAAAACTTTGATATTCTGAGGGTAAAGTTGGCTTTTAAATGTCAAAGCGGATGTCTGCAGGAGAATTAGCGGAAACTTCACATTGATTAAATAATCAACGTCCGACCAGATCTCTTATTTAACTTGAATTATTCAGATCCTTTAATGTTATGTCAACAACCTTCTGATGAACTGAGCCCTAGAAATAATTATATCGGTAATATTTAATAATCTAGTTGTTTACCACCGCTACATCACGGGAATTTAATTTGAATCCGGTTTAAGGCGGATTGAGTTAACGACCCAATTAAATTAATGTACATTTTCTTGTTATTACTAAAGCGAACCAATTAAATTAATACACATTTTCTTTTTATTATTAAATACTGTTATAAAGGAACGCGAGTGAAATTGAAGTTTTGCTTGGGAGGGATAGCATTTATTACATTTATTAAGGAGGGATTACATGTATTTTCAATTTACAAGTTTAACCTCCTACAATGATGTGCCTTCACTAATAAATAGGCAAGGAATGAATCGTTAAGATTACAATTACAAACAATTAAATATCGCTGAAGGGAGAGAGTGCTGATTGCAATAATAGGAAGAACACCTGCAACCTAGCAATGCAATCTGATAATTTATATTACTTATACACATCATTTCTTTAAATAATATCTTGCATAGGGAATTTTCTGTTTCCAATATTTTTGTGCCACTAAAATTGAATGTGTGTCTATGATCATGGCAATGTATTGAGAGTTCAATACCAGTCCTTATCTTTGTAATCATATTTTTGCTGTCTAATCCTCTCACTAAATATTGTTTGGTTTGGCCATAATATAACTTTTGGCAGTTATGGCATCTTATACAGTATATTAGGTTAGATCTCTTATCCTTCCGTTCACTGCTTGTTAGTGTCGAATACAATGTTCTTCCAATTTGATTTTTGAATTTAAAAACTCGTTTTCTATTATCACAGTTGATTTCAATTAAGCACGTTAACTTTTTGGATGCACCATTTACATATTTTATGTCATAAAATTTAGTGTTGATATTTAAAATTGAATCCTCATAAAACAACATAAGAAATAGTTAATTCTATGGGAAATAAGCATGTTAGGGACATTGGATGCACACTACTCTTTAGTATTTATTTTATTTTTATAATATTTTCCCTATGAAACAGAGTGTAATATCCATAATTTCTTTTATCTTTAATTCCATAATTTATCTTTAAATATTTTAATTTGAAAACTTTCCCCTTGTTCCATCTTCCCAAGATAAGGACTTAACTGACACCCTTCACCCCCACCATGCTAAATCCACTCCTAGACCTCGCACCAGGGTATATAATAGGAAAAATTGTAACAAGCAAGGAGTCTGTTTGTCCTCCACTCTTGTAGTGATTAAATTTTTAATACAGAAATTAATTTTCCTCTGTCCATTTAGTTCTACTTCTGTCCCAGACTCCACCCCACAATCCTGAGGTAGGTTATCATAAGAGTGTCATTCAATAAAAAGATGGTCAATGAGGTTTAAATCTGCCAAGCAACCTTCTCATGCGTCATTGCAGAGTTTTGTAACGACTCACAAAAATGCAATTAGCGCTTTGAAGGCACTGAAACTTTCCGACTTGGGAGACTGTTCTATTTCAATTATCCGTAAACAATTTGGATTGTCATACGCGTAAAGATTTTGAAAATCACTGGGATTCCAAATCAATTCCCACGTTCCAACAATTAATTGAGTTTGTCACAGAGCGAAGTCGGTCGTGCGAGTTTTACTCTTCGAAGAGTTCAACCCCTTCAAGATCGACATCTAAACACAATTGTTCATTATGTTCCGCTTCGCACACTCTCCCTCAATGTCATGATTTTATAAAACAGGATATTGACCAACGTTACCAGACAGTAAAAAGATTAAATCGATGTTTTAACTGTCTTCGAGCCCACATACGCGATCGGTGTGCTTCGACAGGGGTTTGCTCAGTTTGCAAAAGCAATAGGCACCACACTCTATTGCATCCTCCATCCTCTACCGCAAAAAACAATAGTACCTTTTCTAAGGAAAAGTCCTCTTCTGATAACAAAGTGGTAGCTTGTCACGTGAAAGATGAGGATGCTCAATCGCCAACTCTTTTAGGAACCGTGACAGCATATATTCAGGATTCCTGTGGACAATTTCATCCTATTCGAGCGTTGTTAGACTCTGGTTCACAGGTCTCTGCCCTTTCCTCTCATGCCATCAAAAGATTAGGACTTAGGTACACTCCGTCTAAAGTTTCGATTACGGGAGTTGGTAATACCGTTACCAAACCTTTCGGAATTGTTACCTGCGTATTAAAATCTCGTTTTGATCCTCATAGCTCTATCTCTTTGCAAGCCTTAGTTCTTTCAAGCATTACTAATCATGTACCCCCAACGACCCTCTCTTCGAACGTCCTCGAAAAATTTAAAACTCTTCCGCTAGCCGACGAACGTTTCCAAACTCCAGGTCCAATTGATCTCCTTCTTGGGGTAGACTGTTTTTCGGACATCATAAAAGAAAACAGTCCCATAATTTCTGGTGAACCATGTGCGATGGAGACCATATTCGGTTGGATAATATTTGGAAAAGTTTCTCGTCAAGCCAATTCACCCGAAAAGGCGGTTTTCAATGTGGCGTTTAGTGATAACACTTTACGAAAATTTTGGGAAATAGAAGAAGTAATGGTATCCAGTCCCATGAACCCACTCGATGTTTGCTGTGAAGTATACTTCCAGTCGACCACGTATCGCGATACGTCTGACCGGTAGTGGTACGTTGTCTCATTGCCGTTCTCCCCTAACGCTCTGCCTCTGGAGGGAAATAGGGACAAATCTTACAGGTCCTTTCTCTCTTTGGAACGGCGTCTGTCTCGACAGCCCGAATTGTCACTACCATATGAGCAATTCATGCGAGAGTATAATGAATTTGGTCACATGAATATTGTCCCTTCCCCCTCGAACTACATAATGCCCCACGACTGCGTATTGAAACAAAGTTCCTCTTCCACTAAATTGCGTGTGGTGTTCAACGCTTCCGTTCCCGATGTTTTTGGTCATTCCTTAAACGATCGTCTCCTTAGAGGCCCGAAACTTCAATGCGATTTGGGTGACATTCTCCTTACCTTCCGTCAACACACTGTGGCGTTATGCTGCGAGATCAAGTTGATGTATCGCCAAATCCTTCTTAATCCCACCGACCGCAAATATCAGCACATTTTCTGGCGAGAAAATAATTCATGTCCTGTTGCTGAGTATGAATTAAACACAGTCACTTATGGTATGACACCATCGGCTTACCTGGCACAGCGAGTAATCAAGCAGTTAGTGCTCGATGAAGGGAAACCTTATCCCATGGCGAGTGTTGCTTTAGGTAAGCACACTTACGTTGATGACGTTATAACTGGGGCATCAAATTCAGAACAATCGTGAGCTCATGGCACAATTGAAGGGTCTGCTTTCTAAAGGTGGCTTTGAGCTCAGAAAATTGTCAAGCAATGATTACTCGGTGCTAGTCGGATTGCCCCCGGACCACCTTGAAATGCCTATTAACTTTGCAAAGGATGAAAGTTGCATAAAGATAATTGGCTTAAATTGGAATCCGAAATCTGATTCATTTGGGTTTCAAGTTTCTCCCTTTGAAAGTGTCGCAACAAAGCGATCCATTCTCTCTTATGTCGCGAGAATTTATGATCCGCTTGGATTTTTGACCCCAACCACATTTGGGATCAAGTATTTTCTGCAGCAGCTTTGGATTGCTCGAGTGGATTGGGACCAATCTATTAAAGGAGAACTGCTCCAAGTTTGGCAGAACTTTGTATCACAGATCGCAGAATATCTGATGAATTCAGGTGGAAGAGATCGATGCAGCAGCACAGAGGGTTTTTCGTGGTCGCGGGATTAAAGACTTTTTTATTAATACGGGAGAAAAAGCATGAGAAAAGAGAGATGTGAGGACCTTTCTATCATAGGAGTAGAACAGGACTGGGTTTGCAAGGAGCGTGGGAGTAGGATTAGGGGTGTCGGTGTTTTTATGTATAGTTAGAAAATATAGATAGTTTTGTGTCCCTAGCATGGGTTGAGAATGAATGTATTAGCATGAATGTGTATTGTGTAGTGTGAGGGTTGATAGCAGCCCTCAATTAGGTTAGTTAAGTAATATGTGTAGATGGTGAAGGGGCTACATTGAGTACTCCACCACCCTAATTGTGTGAATGGTATGTAAATAGGAAATACTATATGTAAGAATGAGTGAGAGTGATCTTGGAACTGTATGCATTGGGTGCATTGTGTGCATTGTGTGCTGAATTGATGTAGCTGTTGACATCTCTTGGAACCTAACCTTGGTGGCTGGATGGATATAACTGAAGTATGACCCTGGATTTCCAATAGCCAAGGTGGGTGATCCTTGAGGCCTTAACCAACAAAAACACATCATACATATATTTCTTAATAGTTTTTATTGCAAAATTATATTCAACTTGATCCAATCCAACAATCCATTCATAATCAGCAATTCAATCAATAATGCTTAGGAAGGGAACTGTGTTACACCCATGGCAACACCATTGACCTCTCCATAACAGTTACCTTAGTACTTAAAATATCCCATGAACACTGTAAGGTTAACCTCTGAAAATCAGGTGACACACGAATCTCAGTAGGTAGTTCCAATTATTTGTGCCACCTACAAAATATGTATTTGATTAGTCCAAAAGGGCTGTGAGAGAAGATGGACCCAGTAAGTGTCCCTATGCCAGCATGATTACTTGCATTGCCAAAAATTCAAGTATTCTATTATCTCCTCTGCTTATTTACTTTATCTCATACATCAATGTTCAAATCAAAAATAAATCCCTTTCCTCCTCAGGTTAAATGAAAATAATTTTTTGTTTGTTTTATCATAATTTATTATATACACATTTCTCATTATATTAGTAGTTTGTAAAACGTCTTCTCCGTTAATTCCAAGTCTGTGTCAATGAATTTTGTAAGCTATTTGTAACTATGATGTGTTACTAACTTGTCCTGTTAGTAGTTGTCATATTAGTCTTGAATAATTATGAAACAAAATAAATTCTCAAAATTAAGTAAACTTTCCATAAACACATCCTCCTTATGCCATTCAGTTATTTTCCAATTTAGCAACATCTTTTTAAAACCTACCTTGGCATTCCTTTTCATAATTGCTTCTTTTAACTTATCCTCTTTCTTTTGATCTAATTTTTCATAATATTGCCTGAAAATTATTCGAGATCAAAAGGCTTTTGTTTAGCCTGGGGAGATTTTGTCTGCATCCATCCAGAACACACTGTTTTAGAGATTGTGAACACCGAGGTTGTCAATTTTTATCAGGCTCAACCTGTAATGTTTGCTAAATGATTCATGATAATCAAACGATTAAAGCAATATCAATAAAAGTAACATGGGAGGGGCATCAGTGGCCGCAACGTTTAGGTGTTGATATGGCACACATGACAGTTAGGTAAAAGTTTGATCCAGCGACTTTGCATTGAAACTTGACGTACTTACATTTTTTTTTTTTTTAATGAGGGTTTGCAACAGCAGAGGTCGTTTCAAACCTTGGAATGCTCGCATTAAAAAAAGCATAGAAAAATGTCACAACAAAAATTGAAAACACTCATTTATATTGACTCACACTAATATCATTAAAATATTTTCATGTATATATTGTTACTATACAAACCATTTTAACAATATTTGTTGTTTTAATTTTAACAAGACTTTAAATGAGTGAAGTATTTTTTTCATAAAAGTAATCTTGGAAAAATAAAATTCAAATACTTTTATCTTACATAAAAAGAAATTACATTTCTCTGCACTGTTTCATAAAAACACAAACACTTAATAGCACAAAATGTTATTTTAACAGTTTATTCCAAAATCCCAGCAGCTGAAGAAAGAAAAAGTTATAAAATTACTTTACTATCACACTCTTTGGAAATGCTTTCAACTGATGTTACTTACAATCTGGCATATTAACAGTGGTTGATAAAAGTACAGCTGAAGAGACAACAAGAACCCTTATAAGACCCACAACAGGCATTTGGCATGTGACAAAAGTTTCTAAGAAATATTTGGTCCCTCTCACCAACATCGGTACCTACAAATTTACAGAAAACAAAGTGATTGTTTGTGAACATTATGTTACCCATAAATTAAACATGTTTTAATTCACTATTGTTATACAAATATAATTATGTAAGAAAAATACAAGAAATGTGTAATTCGTATCAACATTAGTGTGAGATTCCTCTGTCTGGTCTGTGGGGAGACGAACCTCTAATGAGATCATTATCAGTCATTTTGGTCTGCCTAACAAGCTAGTAGTTTGGTCCATCAGATGTGTTTCAGGATGACTGTGTTGGGTCTAAATATGAAATGCTGAAACACAAATGACAGACAACACAGGAAGGATAGGCAGACCAAAATGATCGGTAATGACCAAATTACATATCCACAATGTCCATTCATAATTTCAAAATTCAATTTACAGCAAAATGTTTATTTGATCAATAACTCTTACTATAAGAGAAAACTCAAAATGGAAAAATAAATTGATTAATTATCTTCCTGCAGCCAAGAAGGAGTACAATAATTATAATATTGTCTTGGCGAAAGGTTAGGAAATATCATAAAGAAAATATAGGATCAATTTTAAAAAAATATTAATTCATCTAGAAAGAAGATAGCATTATGCCAGATGTTAAAGAATTGTGGTTCCTTTTTTTTGTCATTTTATTGAAGATTAACTATCGTGATTCATTTTTGTTTAGGCATTAATAAGTTTATTAACTACAATTTTTTTCTGGTGTTGAACAGTGTGCTGGATCCATCTTTACTCACGGGTTAAAGTGGACCTAATAAGTAGCCCAGTGCTGGTTCAACATGAGTTCACCGACTGACAAACACCCAGCATCAACATTAATTTTTTTAAATTCACTAATTTCGTGGTTCGCTTGACCAATTAAATCATTACAATTAATTAAGGTTTTTAGTTGAGATGAAAAAAAGTTAATGGCACGAGAGGGATTCGAACCCACGACATTCGGCTAGATACGCCGCTGCTCTATGTCCGAGTGGATCGAGGTCACGATAGCTCAGGTGGCAGAGCAGCGGCGTATCTAGCCGAAGGTCGTGGGTTCGAATCCCTCTCGTTCCATTAACTTTTGTTCATCTCAACTAAAAACCTTAATTAATTAATTTTTTTCTACTTACATATAATATAGGATTGTGTAGAACATACAGCTTTGGTTCATATATAAAAGTAACTTTGAGATCTACTGGTACAATGTTCGGAGACATATTCTGCAATATCATTCTGATTTTCATTCTTGGTCCCAAACCCACGACCTGCCGAACAATGCTTTTAATTAAAAAATTGTGTCAATATATAAGTTAAAAATACTACCTCTACAATCATTTTAAGTGATTCGTTATGAGTCACTGATGCATTGTGCAGTGCACTTATATAAGATTCACTTGTAAGCACTTTGAGACTTGTCCATGAATGATGAAACCAAGTATGCATTTCTGTTTTGAAAAAGTAGAAAAATACAAATTTTACTTTCCATTTATTGAATTGTTCTTCAATGTATGCCAAGTACATCTTAATTATTTGAGCATTTTGCTTGGTTTTTTACCTCGGCATTTTTGTCTTTCCCTAAGAGACTGTTCCAGAAATAATTTGCTTTTTTTGGGTACAAGGAACTTTATGTCATGTGGCCTTATTCCAGCATTATGCTGAATATAGCTGGCATAATCATTGCTGAACTGAGCAGTTCTTTTCAAAAGCCGTATGTCTAAAGCTCCACCTACATTGAAATTAAAAATTATTATTATTATTTATTGTGAACCATGGTTAAGAATCGCCAAATATTGACAAATTACAATGTTCTATTGATCTATTGAGGTTTTATGCCATTTTTAAGTATTTAAAACATTATACATATTTTCTCATATTTTGGGGTAAATAAAATTTTATTATATTATGGGATTTTTACCTTGATTTAACAATTTTAATTTACGATTTGAATGAAAATTAAAGGAAAAATTAACAACCACCTTTTTTTTATATTTACTTTAGAAACAACCAATCTAAATTTCCATGAATCTGGCTCCAATCACTGTTAAAAGGAAAAAGCAGTGACAAAAGTATTTGTAAAAGCATAAATTATGTACATGGTTACAGGCAGCTGAATATTATAGCAGGAATTTTTTTTTAAATAAAGGATGTTATATTAAAACATGATGTAGATTTTGCTGCATCAGTTGAAAAAGGCCAAAAATCTAATGGAAAAAATACACTTATCTATAATTTGGCATTCATTTCAACTAATACCGTGTGTATTGTATGTACAATTAAAAAATGGAAACCCAAAATATGTCAGTTATTGAGTTAAATCATTATAAAACTAAAAGCAGCTGGAGTAGAATTTGGCAATAAAGTAAGAAAGAAGGTGGAAGATGTAGTGCTTAAAAACCCTGACTGAAAGAGAAAAGTGAAAAATCAAGAAGAAACTTTAGGATGAAAAAAGAATTTAAATTTCATAGAAACTTGAAGTTTTAAATTCGCTCCAATAAAATTGGTAGATGTGGAACTGTGGAACGCTCCTTTAGCAGGTACTCACTGGAAGATATTGAAATTAGAGCATGCTCCTCTTGCCCATACTTTCCAAAGATCATAGAATAGATTGGTTCCAGAGTAGTCAACACATGTACTAATGTAGAATCATTGTAAAAATATATGTTTCCTTTTGATAAAGCAACAGCTATCAAGTGTAGTGCAAAACTTGAAAGCAGTATATCAGTCATGTAAAGAGGGTTGTCTGGTAGCTTGACAGCCCAATATTTTCTTCCCTAGAAAAAAAATTAATCTTAATGTAGGCCAAGTTTTTCTGCCTAAAACAAAACCAACCTTCATATTATAGCAACTAAGAGAGCTGTCCATATTAGCAGTAACTATTTTGTTAGTAAACAAATTGATAGAAACAGGCAAAGAAAATAATTGGGTAATATAGCGTAAACTGTTTCCTCGTAAAGCAAATAGAGAGCCATTTCTGAAAGACATTAGTACGCAGTACTCAACCAAGTAAACTCCATAAGCTGCTATATTGCAGCACACATCTGGCAACTAAAACAAGAATAATTATTTTTTAATTATCAAATTTATGCGAGATTTCATTATGTTGTCTGCAGGTTGATGAATGTGTAATTTTGTCTTTGATCATTTTGGTCTGGCTAACCTTGGGTTGGTCTGATTATTCCAAATTATTTTATTTTTATATTATGAAGACCAGTAGGGTTAATTTATCTTTATTATTTGTATAGGTGTGGTTTGTTCGAAGGCAGGTGACAGACTAACAGTTAGGATAGGCAGACCAAAATGATTGATAGCAATCAAATTACAATGAAATTTTTCTACAAAATAATTCCCACATTACAACCACATGCAAATAAAAATGATCTAAATATTGTTCACTACTTTATTTGACATACTTGTTAAGACAATGCAAGACATATAACAACTAAGGTAAAGGCCCAAAAGGAGTTGGCCTCTTTACAACCATACTTACTGCAACCAATATTTATCTATTGTGCAATCTATAGCTCTTCATTAATCCTAAGGCTCTCAAACCTTTATTGAAGGCACTTGTATCCTTCAGATCTTGGCTTGTCCTCTCCTAGAAGTAGGAATTTCAGCCTGCAAAGGCCTTTACATCAATGAGGACATTTTCTGCTGTCTTTTTCTTTTTCCTGGCATTCTGCACAGGCTTATTTCTACAGTATTAAATATAAACATGTGCTTCGGAATCTGTGGTGACCACTCAACAGTCTTCTAATCATTCTAGTCTTAATGCATCCTAGGTTTAGTAGTTTGGCCACTTTCACTGGTTGGTGACCATTCAAATCAATCATGCCAGACATGTACTTGTGCATACAATATTGTATATATTCTTGTAAATACCATAATAATTGCTTTTGCATTTTGTATGCAGTTGTAAAATAATAAAAAAGTGGTTTTATCATTAGTCTCCATGATGGCTGTTAATGAAACTTTTTTGCTTGCTCCTGTTCTGGAATACAATTCCATTGAACTGACGTCATCCATATTAATGGATGTTTTTGGCAATTTGGTATGCTGATTCAGGTTTAATCTATTATTTGATGGATCCACATTTTTGGCAGTTCGGTATGCCACAAAAAGGGTTCAACACTAATAGGTATACTTGTCGAACTTTCCTTGGCCAATATATTGGCCTCCTCATTATCCCTCTTGCATGCCCTGTTGCCCAAACAAGAGTAATTTTGGTTTTTTTTCCAAAGCTCTGGACTTTATAATGAGGTTGATATCAGTACTGATATTCTCATTGTTCAACCTTTTACTAAAACCTCAAAAGTCCTAAAGGTTTATGATGATGAATGGAGACTAAGAAGTCGAGGTTTTATGTTCCACAAGCACTGCAGCTTTTTGGCATTTTCCTAGTTCCTTAGTTCAGTGCAATCAATTCAATTTTTCTTTTAAGCAATTTGAGGTCCTTCACTGTTGTTGCTGCAAATTCTTTTCCTGGGTTTTCTTTTTATCCCAGGTTGTTTCCATTGAGAGGTTGCTTTGGCAATCAAAGATGATACAGATGGCTATTCCTCCTTATTGCATAACCTATAAAAGAGGTCATCATTGAATGTACTTGTCTTATGTACATGTTTTCTCACATGCCAGTGACCTATCACTTCACTGCGTTTTGTCATCTAACTCTAGCATTGAGTTTGCCAGTTTTGGTGAGGATTCTTTTAACATAAGTTTGCTATATTTGGCACATGAGTTTGTCCACTCTATGGTTTATGATACAATAGCACAAAAATTAGTAAAACTATATGTACATTAAACACACAACTCCGTGCAAGGAACTAGCATATGTTACCTTGCATCATCCAAACTAAAAATAAACATGTAATAAATTTTTTTTAAAAATGTAAATATATTGTAAAACTTAAAAATGTAACACAAAATGCACATCAAAATCTTTATTATAATTATTTATATTATTATTAGGTTCAGAAAATAAAATTACAATTTGATGTACATTATATTATCAGTAATTAAAAAAGACAAATTTAAAAGTTTTGAAAGTAAACACAAAAATGGCTTGTCTAAAATTTGTGTTACAACTTAGCTAAGTTTTTCATTTGGATGCAAATATTATCTATTAAAATATAATTTGATATGAAATTTATGTACAACTGAAATATGTAAAAATTGTAAATTAATATTGATGAGATATAACATGTTAATGAAATTGATATACATAAATCCTTTATTATACGTAAATGCTGATTGATTTATTGATTGAACGCAAAAAAATGAAAAAGTTTGAAAATCTTTTGAAAGCTTCATTTCTTTTGATAATCTTATTGTCTTTAAATTATTATTATTATGATTATTAGACATTCATAAATTACCTTGAATTCATTGACCAGTGTAAATGTTTCAGGATCCATTACAAACAATTGTGCACTTTCAGTTGCGAGTAAGACGCAAGAAACGTCTCTGTCATTATCAGCGTATTTGCGTAAAGTTGTAACACATGTTATCACCATCTACAATCCATGACATTTTTTATGGATCAATACTTCAAACACCAGTTTCATGATATTTTATTACTTGTTTTTTAATCATAAAATGTGTGTTACTTGATATGAACTCATCTCTCAATGAAGGATCCATTAAGAGTACATTCTGGCTCGGTGAGCTTAAATTGGTAAACCCCAATTCCAGACTCAGATCTTTTAAAACTTGTATTAGCTGATCGGCATTTGATATTTCACTCCATACGTCTGCTTCCAAGCTGCTACCTTCTTGTGGTGGAAGGGTAAATTTGAAATATGGTCGGCAATTTCGATAGACTAGGACATTCGATCCTGTAGCAACAGCTATCCCTGTAAAGAAAATATGTTTTAACCAACTGGGCAGAGATCAAATTAAAAAGTGGTATCAAGAAAATTAAATAAGCAAGAAATGGTTTAAACAGAGTCTTAGGGACTGTAATAAAAATATTTATGAAAAAATTGTAGGTCTACATTTAAACAAAATCGCCAACGTGTAAAATTAACATTTTGTAACCTGGTATTCGAGGGTCAGTACGATCAGTATAAAGGCAGACAATGGCTACTGGCTGAGTTAAAAGAGGAAGTTCCACATTTAGAGATGTACCTTTGTAAACCTGCAAAAATATTTAATAATTTCTTCAGACAGTTGTTTAAAGTTATTAACAACAATCTCACTTTCAGTTTTACTTGAATCCCATTTCCGAAATCACCCAAGATCAATTTATAGTCATTATCCGCATTGAGATCAGAAAGGGCCATACAGGTGCTGAAAGTTTGCAGATCAGCTTTTGGATCTGAGAAGGCATCGATCCAAGGATTGTGAACCTTTGTCCTGTCAAAAGTTTTTATTATATGATTTGTGAATAGATGCATTTTTAACTTGTATTTGTTTGAACATCCAACATTTCCACTGTATACCTATTGTGTGTTTATTTCCTCATCTTTTATAGGCGTAAAACTTTCTCATGTGATATGTGAATTTAAAAATGTATAAATCATTAAAATAAAAAAACTATCTTTTCTGGTTTGGGCTTAATTAAAAAAACGTTCATCATAATGGTAAAAACAGATAAATACAATTGTACAAAATAAATAACAAATATTGACACTAGATTTTTGTAAATGTTTCAGTGTCAAACCTTAGCCATAAGCTGAGGAGAACAATCAGATTGATTGACCGAATGGCACAGTATGAGATATTTATAAACTTATAAGTAAACTAATAAAGCCCTACAAACAGATCAATTGACGCTAGTAGTGTATTGATAATGCATAAGAAAATATGTGAAATTATTATAAAAATGTATTTAAAAGTTTACAAAATGTCTGAATACCAAAATAAATGTAGTATCGTCAGAGATAATAAAGATGTACAATATTTTATCAATTTTGTACCAACTACATTCCATAAACAAACATAAAGTTATAAAATGTTAAATATTATGAGTATTGCGAGATTTCCCCATGTTGCCTGTGGGTTGATAAAACTGAAATTTGGTCTTTACTGACCATTTTACTCTGCCTATCCTAACTGGCTAGGACTGTCAGACGCGTTTTAGTATTTCAACACCTTCTGTGTGTCTGGACAGACCCAACGAGAATAGACAGACAAAATGATTGGTAATGACCAAATTTCAACTAGATTATATTAAGAGCACAAAAATTGTGTCAATTGTCACAAAAATAGTGAAATAATAAAAACATTATTTATTCAACACACAGAAGATGGCGAAATGCCGAAACGCATCTGACAGTCTAACCCAGCAAGGATAGGCAGACCAAAATTATTGGTAATGACATTATAATAATTATTATTAAAAAAAGATTAAAACACCTAAGATTTTCTTATGATAGCTTTATGCAGAATTACCTGATACCTGCGAGTGACAATAACCCCATCACTCTAAACCTTCATTCAAAACATGTACGCAAGTAGAACCAAGGAAAAGCTCAAACAGACTATAAAGGAAAAGAAGAAAACTTTATATGATTGAAATACGATGACAGTTGGCTCCTAAACAAATGATGGAATCGAATCAAGAATATTTTATGCATGCCCAAAAGATGAGCAGTCAAACTCATCTTGTGTCGTAGACAATCTTAAAAGTGTTGATGATGGGTTTTGGTCAGTAAGTTGGTGAACTCATGGTGAACCAGCACAGGGTCACTTACTGGGCCTGTCTCCACTCGCAGGTTTTTGAGTTATTCAAACACATTTCAGCATTGCACGAACCTTGTTCCTCACTGAACATGGCACAATGCCGAAACGTGTTTGAATAATTCTAAAACCCCCAAGTGGAGACAGACCTAGTAAGTGACCCTTTGCTGGTTCAACATGAATCTTAAAAGAGGTTGTACTGACAAAAACATCCTCATAATATTAGACAGCCAAGCAGCCCTAAAGGCATTACCACATAAAAAAGTCACCTCCAAAATTATTAATGAATGCATCCATAATCTCCAAAACCTTGTAAAACAAAACAACCTGACAATATCTAGAATGCCAGGGCAATGAACAAGCAGACAAGCTGGCCAGAAGAGGTAAGACCATAGCCCAGAAACAATACTTCAGATAACATGATCAAACTCCTCCATTTCAGAACGGGTCCACATAAAAACAAAAGGAGAAGTAAACTCATGATTAAAGAACCCATAACAAAACTTGGCAAACATATTGCTACAGTTGGACATGGTAAAACTCAGGGGAGTGATAGGGTGACCAGTTCAATAGTGTCTGAGAAAACACCCAATGATGACCCCATTTGGTAATGCAATGATGTGGAAGGGGGAAAGTGTACGAAATGTACTATACCCAGAGACTGCAGTGCTTGGGGAATATAAAACCCTCTCTTCTTAGTATTCCCGTGACATCATTATCAAAAGAGAGTCCAAAAAAAATTATTCTATTATTACTATATATTTTGAAAAATAAAACATTAAAATAATGCAGATTTATTGGGCGAACATCAAACGAACTTGCAGCTGTAGTTTTGTTTTAAGTTCATATACCTGTTTGACGCCATCTCAAATAATAATTTGGTCCGTTATTTATTCAATGATACGCGGGCAAATAGGCCGATAACAATATTAGACGACAAACACAACAGCACGGACCGTGAGCTGAAACCTTGTTTGGCGTTTTGTTACCATGGTGCGCCGGCCATGAGTAAGTTGCACCACGCCAGACCGGACCCCACAAAACAGTGAATTTTTTCATATAATACTCACGAGTGAAAATTGATATGCATAATATCAATAAAATTAGTTATGATTAACACTTGAACTGTACATTTTGAAGAAAAAAAATGGTTATATTGATTGTCATATAAAGAGACATAAAATGATCATGTAAAAATCTATTTTCTGAACGGCCTTTGAATATTTAAAAGAGAAGTAAGGTGTTGTAATAAAACATAATTTATGAATTTCAACTATCACAGTAGTAATTATTTGTCATTGAAAATATCAATTTCGTTAGCATGCAAATTGTTCAACATATAATTATGTAACATGAGCATAGATGAAATTATTTTTCGCCTTCTTTGATATTTTTTTTCCCAACAAATATACGTTTTTCTAACACTCGAACATTAAATTATGCCTTTGGAAACCAACACATATTTTTTCAAGCCCTTGTTAAATATGCTCCTTTCGAAAGGAACGCCCGGTCAGCGAAATTGTCCGACTGACTGTGCAATGTGGAATACTACGGCTTCCTGTCGAATGTCTGTCAGTTGTTAAGTTATGTTGGCCGTCGTAGCTTCGACACAAACTCCGAGGGACAGAGATTTTACCAGTAAGAATTAATGCATGTCAAGTAAACAATTAACAACGAAAAATAAAATCAATTGCCTTACTAGCAAGGTAATATTACAATTGTAAAGTAGCCGAACTTCAATTCCAACTCGTTCATCGTACTTCATCAAAGACAAAAAACCCGGACACTCGTATTTTGTCATTTATTTCAAACTATATGTATTTTTATCGTACATTTTTATTAATTAAAACATACTTATTTTAATGTAAACCAAATTAAACCAGATCCGAAATGCATGAGTTTTAATAAAAATTATTTAATCATGATGGTTTGAAAGAAAATTCAGCAAAGCACCGGAACATCATTTAGCGATAGATTAAAATTTAACTAACAATTTATTACCTGGTTTTACTCTTAATAACCCGTATTACCTCCTCTGGCCTCATGGAAGGCCTTAAGTCTCCTAGGCGTCGAGTAAATAAGAGATCGGATTTCGTTTTGTGAAACAGAATCCCATTCTTCAATAAGAGATGTTTGAAGCTGTTCAACGCTTGTTAGAGGCGGTAAACGATGTCTATCCCGTCTCTTTATCATATCCCATAATTGTTCTATGGGTTCATATCAGGAGAACGTGCTGGCCAATTCATTGTGGTAATGCCTACATTCTCCATTAATGGATGACAACTCGAGCTATATGCGGTCGAGCAATTTCATGCATTAACAAGAATTTGCCCCAATAAATGGAGCGAATGGGACTATAGCTTTCAAAAGAACTTCCTCAATGCACCCAAGACCAGTCAAAGATCCCTTCTGTATGCCGCCTTTCTTCTCGATGCCTCTTCATTAATAGAGAACCTGATGCGGGACGTCTAGAGACTAGGATATTGTCACGAAGATTTCTGATGACTGTTTTAGAACTCATCCTTACATTATAACCCTTTGAGTTGGCTACCTATCAAGGAAGTCATTAAAAGAACGATAAAACGGTCGCTCTAGCTGTCGTGCATCACGGGCGGCCACTACCTTATATTCGATCGAAAATTCCAGTGGCCCTAAACTGCTATAGACAATCGTGGATGGTAGAGGGCATCACACCCAGAACTTGCGCATGTAACAGACGCTAAGTCCGTCGGCCAAAGCATCTCCCCGAGCGAGATTTTCTCAACTGAAAATCATGCTTTTAAGACAAAAAATTAATAATTAATTTTTACTCAAATTTATTGTTTCATCAAAGAAACAAGTTTAAAAAATCAATTAAATGACGCGACAAGTTGCCTCTGGAAAAGTTGAAATTGAACTGATTTTGTTTATTTTTAATGTAAAGAATGTAAAAGAATTAGAAAACTAACATTATATAAAGGTAAACAAGTTGTGTTTACGTTTTAAGTCAACTATTAATATTTATACCTAGTTATTATGGAAAATAAATAAATAGAATTGTCCGGTTATTTCCTATGAGTGTATAATATGGGAGTTCCAACACCTTAGATCAGAACAATAGGATCCAATAAAACGAACAAACAAGTAAAGATTCAATAATTCAGTTTCAATGAATGCTAATATTAGATTATCAAAGGAAAAAAGGATGATCTTACTAAATTGTTTCTATCGATGATCTTTCGTTGATAAAATCATTCGTCATGGCTGTAAAAGATAAATTGATAATTTATTTCTATAGAATATAATAGAACTATTTTTATGCAAAACTAGTGGTAAAAATGTGGTGCCTTCCAGGCGTGCCTTAAGGAATATCTTAAGGCTACGTACGTGCGAACTTCGATTTCAATGAAACTTTTTGTGGTAGTTAGAAAAATACTTGTTTGCCAATGAGCCTTATGAGCCATGGAAACAAAATTAAGCTATTCGAGTACTTTTAATAAATATTCAGATTCATTTTAAGCACTATTTAAATCACTTAAATACACATTTTTATATCAAACAAAGAATAGACATTTTGGGGTTGGATCAGCCTGGGTCTATTTTCCTCCGTTGATCTGTCTTATATAAAAATATATAATTAATATATTATATATAATACATAATTCATAACTACTCTGAATTGTATTCCAATACGACAGTTTTTTTTTTTTGGTTTATGATCTTTGCATATTAGCCATGACGAATTTCTTATATATGTTGTTCAAATTGGAGGTTATCGGGAAAAAAGGGCCAGAGGCGACGGTGGGAATCGAACCCACGACCGCGGCGTGAGAGTCTCTCATGCTAACCACTCGGCTATCGCGGTCCTCAATACGACAGTTTGAAAGTTGCATTTCTCTTAGCCTTTTGTTCTGATGATGAGTGAGAAAAGTAAGGATGAAATCAACAAAAACTGCCTAAGTATTTCATTTTATATCTACGTTTTTGATTTATTTACGGAGCTAGGTTTGTCCCATCACAAATAGTTTATAGGATTTTAACTCTCTGTAAGAGTTTCTATGGATTGGAAGAGTTCTTTCAAAGTTATCACCATTACTGAGATTTTCCGCGGGTGAAACCATGAAGTATCTCTCCATATTAACAAGGTTGTCTCCTGTACTCCTATTTTTTCTGAAACCGCTCTGCCAAGAATACAGCAAAGAATTGTGCTCTAAGAACCAGATCAACCTGTCATTGTGCACACTAAGAGAAAAAAAATAGAGATATAAGGCGATAACTTTAACTTCGTGAGCTGGTTTATTCTTTTTTATTGTAGCTATAATAGCTGTTGCACATGATCAAATTTTTGGGAAAACATTTACATGGTAACAACCAACAGCAATTTATTAACAAAAAATCTACAGAGAAACTGAAAAACAAAAAAATAAAATTATAAATGCTTATTGTTAAAAATGGCTTCAAAAACAGTCCATTGATTAACATGGAGGATTTGTGAGACCATGTTAGTCGACTTAACGCTTTACAACAGACACAAGGTCGATTGACAAAATATGACACGTGAATAAATTATTTATAATCGCTCGCGCTTTATAAGAAATAATTATAGGATTGTGGATTAGAAATGGAGAGGAAACTTTCATTACAGTACCAAATTGACCACCGTAGAAACGCGGTTGAAGCCCGCGCAGGTGCCCCTTATGTAGAGAAAGGTTGCTCGATGTGTCCCATAGTAGTGACATGCCTTGGCTCCATACAGAGAGCGTGTAGGCATGCCGCCGGATTTAAGAAGAGTTCTCGAACACGGTAGCGAGTTTCATGGTCCACTGTTCCGCTTTTTAGAGGAATTGGGAGTTTTTTTATTGTATATAGCTTTCAAAATATGTTTTGTGTTTCTGTGTTTTGTATGAGTGAGTGTATATATTAGAGGGAATGGGGAGGGGCTGATGGTGGAATAGCATCCCAATCGCCCCTCGAGCTGTGTACGTGACTTGGGTCGATGACGGAATATTGTTATAAAAGTACCCCATCGACCCCAATTACACTAGTTTCTTATTGTAAGCAGGTCGATGTCGGAATATTCAGTACTCCATCCACCAAATAGAATGAATGCAATGTATATAGGTGTGAATGTATTTATTTGTGTGAATGAGTAATGAATGTGTGTTGCAATATTCCGCATGCGCTCGGGGCTGAAATTAGAGATGGTTAGGGATGGTTTAAAAAAACGTACAAATTCAATAAACCGCAATTTTTTTTGGAGTTCTGCAGAAATTCTAAATTGTTTGTTTTTGACCTATAAGCTTTTCTTCTCTAGATAAAAGATCTGAAGATAAGATTTTTACTGGGCATTTGTGTACTACTTGCCAATGAACATCATAAATCATGACATTCATTCATGGATGTTTCTTATTTCTACTTTAAGAAAATAAAATAGTTTATACACTCATTTTCACAAAAAATAAGCATTGTTGTATGTTTCTTAATATGTACATTTCCGAATAAACAGAATGCAAAAAATGTCCAGTAACAAATATATAGCAAAGGCAAAATAATTTCACACGAAATTGTGACAATTGAAGGTCGGCTAATCGGAAAAAACAATCATTTAAATAAAAATTGCAATTTTTCCACTAGGATAAGAAAACATGGTGCCAAGTCGTCCTTTCCGGAAAGGACATTGCAAATCGATTTGGTGCTGACGCAGTGGTGTTTTTCCTGTCTATATCCAAAGCCATATTGTCATTATAGTTATGATTCAAATCGTTTTCGCCTTGTTTTACTCGAAGCTAGCAGACAATAGAGGAAAATTGAAACATTTGGGCCGATCGTCTGCCCTAATTTTACAAAATTTAGTTTGCGTTTTTTTTTGTTTTTTTTTTGAAAAAATGGAGGCAACAGGATAAAGAATTCAAGCTCTCTTTTCATGAAAGTGTTGAATTTTTCACTCTTTCGCTTCACACTTCTCCAAATATCTCCATTATATTGAAACGATTTTTTTTTATTTTATAGAGCCAAAGTTACAGTTAGGGCGCTGACACATGGAGCGGTTTTGCTAGGTTGTGACACACGCAGCGGTATGATGTGCGTTTTGGCCGAAGCGGTTTTGTTTTCTCTCAGTTATTAAATGTATCCTATAGCAGTGCATATAAGCATTGAACGTCGCAAGGTTTTGCAGTTTAAGTGCAGTGGTAACAGTGGTACCCAAGTATTGCATCAGCCCTGACACACGTGGCGTTTATTTGAGCTGTTCGTACCCAAANACAGTTACAGAACAATATATTTATTAAACAGGACTTGTTATACAAACTGCAAAATAACACCTTGCGACGTTCAATGCTTATATGCACTGCTGTAGGATACATTTAATAACTGAGAGAAAACAAAACCGCTTCGGCCAAAACGCACATCATACCGCTGCATGTGTCACAACCTAGCAAAACCGCTCCGTGTGTCAGCGCCCTTATTCTAAAACCCGGTAAAGACGCGTCTCTGGTCACTAGCTACCGTCCATTCTCTTTGCTCATCTGTTTGTGTAAAATAGCTGAGAGGATTGTTCTCACAAGAATCAATTTACATATAAATTATAACAACATAATATCCAAAATCCAATTTGGCTTCCGTTCATATCACTCCACTACTGCTCAGCTGTCCATTTAACT